ATATATATATATACAGTTACAGTATACAAAATGTTGGCATATTCAAATTCCAGAGGTTTACCCTACATGCATTTTAAGGGCTGTATTTTTGTGTAGACCTTTTAAATTTAAAGACAGACATTTTAACTGTCATGTCTTTGAGTCTGTGAAAAGACTAATTTTTGTGTGTATGTATTTTATGTTGCTTGCTTAAAACAAAGATATTGTTTGCTTGGCAATTGCTACAGCAGCCACTGTGAAAGATGCTCAGTCCTCCATGCATGACAAAATCCAAGTATGCTGAAAGAAATCATCCAAAGCAGCTCAACTGAGAGAACAAGAACAGTATTACCCATTGCTAAGGGATCACTTGGCAGCATTTAAACAGTTGCCTATTGAAAACTAATAATTAAGAAAGAGGTTTTACTAAACCAAACAAAAAAAGAACCTCTGAAATTTTATTATCTGAGAATAAAAATCAGCTTAGCACAATTAAGAGATGCAAAATTTCCAATTCAGAGGTTACTGAAGACAAAGGAAACACCCCTAAATTGTAATTCAAATAGGCTTTAAACCAGGTCTTAAAATGGTGCATTTATCTTCTCTGTAATTCAGGTCACAGAACAAATATTTAAAGCGCAACCTCGAACCAACGAGTTGAAGACATGGATCTTTTGATCAAAGAAATCTTGCTCCATGTGTTGGTGCTAGTAGCAATTTTTCTGTAATTTAAAGCAATCTGCACATTATTTGTTGCATCACAAACAAAAACAGATGTAAATCCTTAACTTGGTCTTGGAAGGGCAAAGTCACCAAATGCAGCTTTCCTCTCCCTGGGGCACTGGGTGTTACCCCCATGCTGTTACCTGCACTTCAAAACAAGGCAGTGGTCACTAACTCTGATCTTTCTCAAGGTGGTTGTTCCAACCTCAGCCAACAGCATTTATTAGACTACATTTTTAGGTTTGGCTACATTTACAAGGCTAAATTTATTAGGTTTGGCTACATTTCCTAGTCAACGAGACTGCAAACTACTTTAGTCTTCATTCTACACAGAACTTTGGAGCAAAAGCCAAAATTAAAATTTACATTGAAAAGCACGCAAAAACTTATGCTTTAATTTTGTCACAGCAGGAAAAAGAAAGCAGATGTCACTATTTTCTTTGAGGAAGAGAAACACAAGAAATTTGTAAGGGGAAATTGAATAACACACACAGATCAATTTTATACATGAGAGAGAGATGTAATACAAACACAAGACACCCAAAAATGTACTTAAGATTCTTTAGAAAAGTTCAGAGATTGTATAGGAGATATCACTTCAGCACTATTAAAATATTCCCAAGCTTAGACTCAACTCAAGTTTGGAACGGCAGCTCAGCAAGCAGAGAATTATTTTCTACAACTGCTTGGCCTTCTAATGCAGGTGTTCTCCAAAACACCAAAAATCTGCAGCTGTAAAAGACCAGCTGCAGATTTTTCTTTTGGGTTTTTTCAACAACCTTTCCTTAGGTTTTTGCACCATGCAGACACATCCACACATGGGTAGGGGAGCTGCTTTCACATCACTCAGACATATCACAGAGATTCTTCCCAGAGCTTTTTCAAATAACTGAAATACCAGAGAACCCACAAAAAGGCCCATGTTTTCCTATATTTAGCTAGGTCTCCTGTTCACCAGCAGCTGGCACCATGATCCCCTTGGTACTGGACAGCTGCAGCCTCTCAGCTCAGCCCTAATCATTGCACAAATTAGAAGTAGGAGACATGCTCAGCAAAAGTAGCAGTTTATGCAGCAACAAGAACTTTTTTGTTTTCCTAGACAAGCATTTTAACAAATTAAACCTTACTAGACTACAAGCCAATAAAATAAAACAGAGTTATTGACCACGGGCTCTAGGAAAATGAGCTCCTCAGAAGAATTCCTTTGATTCCAGGGTATAAAGAAGTATATACCACCTCCTTCACCCACCCAGCTATTATAAACAGCTAATTATGTCACAAAGCACTTTTCCACTCTCATTTTTCACATGCCACACTCTTATCTTTCCTTGTCTGAAGCAAGAGTCCACTTCTCTATGCACCTGTATTGCTGAGAAAAGCATTCTGGAATTTAGCACTGCAATCATCGCTGTGCTAATTGCTGATTGCTCAAACAGAAAGCAAAAGAATTGAAAAAAAAAAGAAAAAAGGAAAGAAAAGGAAAAAAGCCCTAACAACAAAAAACCTTCCAGGACTTCTAAAGTATGACCCTGCTGCTAAGACCTCTTTCAGGATCTGCATTGAAAATCATAATTATCGCTGTGGATCCCATAGGTACTCTTTCTGAAAAGAAATAAATATTGACATATTTAGCACTGACAGGACACCTTTAATATCTCTAAATTTACACATCATACTTTTCACAGAAGGGAAACCAGATGCCAGCACAACAGGAAAAATAAACCCCTTCCCATCAAAATGCCACTACACTGAAAAATATGCAGTCTCCATTCCATTTTCAGTAAGAGAACAATTAACAAACCACCAGAAAAGACAGTTCACTGACATCAGTATTGCTATTCTCAGGTTACTTTCTTTTCTCTGAAACAATTCAGAGGTTCTGCCTCAACTCCACCCCAGGCTGCCTCCTCTATGACCTTTCTGCAGCTTTTAGGCAACACAAAAAATGCTGAAGACGCTTGTGCTACAGAGGTTATGCAAAAATATTCCACTATGACCACCATAACAGTGCCATTTAGCCACACTGCTGCCAGCAGAAGTTCTTAAGATAACTTAAATGAAATTTGGACATGTTTCTGTTGTCCTATTTAGCCCTACTGTCTAATTTATTACGTGACTAATTTTATCTTATCTCTGAACTTGGCCAAAACACCTACATGTAAGAATTAGGCACTTTGAAGAAGAATTTTTGAATGATTTATGTGTCCCCATTAAAAGTATCTTCAGACATATCTCATGTGAGCTTGCAAAAGTCTTGCAAAAGACTGAAAATCTTTACAGTAAGTTACCACAGATTAAAGCAGTGAACCAGGAAGTTTAAAGTAAAAGCACGCTGCTATCACACCAGAACTTTACCCACAGTTTCCAAAGCAGCTCACTGCAAACGAGCAGCACAATCTGCTGCTGCACAAGAACCCTGAGCATGCTGCCACAGAATGCAGGCTCGAGGTAAAGGTCTCAAGTCTAGTCAGAGAACTGTGGCTTGGAGGAAGCCATGTGATAACTGGAACATAAGCAGAGCAATTCCTTGGCAAAACCAAGGGTGGCAGCTGACCAAGGCTAGTTAGTGACACCAAGCTGATTAGTGTCTCATTTCCACACAAAAGTCAAGGGAAGATAAATAACTTCCCACAGGACACATGACATTGCCACACTTTGGTTAACTGGGTGCACAATGACTGTGGAGCTGAGATTTCTATTAAAGCAAAGTGTATTTGGTTTTTTAAACACTATTCAGACCCCACTGTCCCTCTTTTTGCCCTGTGTACCCAACCTAATATGCTGGCTTTATTTCAAAGACAGAGGGGATGCCAAATTCACATTTCTCATCCCTGACGATCCATAAAGAAGGGCTCACGTGTTTATCATAGGATCACAGGATAATTCTTTGTACTTCTTTTTCTAAATGAAAGATGTCAAAGTCTATTACAAGCAGTGGCAGTCAGTGGAACCTACTTAGAAATAAAAGGCTGATTTTATTCATAAGCAAGCACTGGAACTATCTGACAAGGCTAAATTATTGCACACTGACTAATGCCTTCTTATGGAAATGGTTGACAATAAATTCTGTGGCAGAACAGTTTCACATCTGCAGATGTGAAACTTGATGTCCTAAAAAAAGCAAAATTCAGGAAAAAAAAAAGCATTCAAAACCAGAGACATGACAAATGAAGGCAGTGGTAAAAAGATCAAACCCAAAAAAAGAATCCACCAGAATCATAAGCAACAGCCTAAGATACCGTGCAAGGAGTACTGCAGAGCACAGCCTGCAGACTGTTAGAGAGCAGCTATGAACAGCTACAGTGCCATGGCCACACTCTGGAAGGGCCATGTCCTTACTGAGTCACCTCAACCAATCCAACCACACTGAGCAATCCAAACAAGTCCTGGAATCAGGTTCTGAATAGCAAGATGACAAAATCTTCCCAGCAGAAGGTTCACCAGAACAACTGCAACCAGTTTCTCACACTGCCTGTGGTGGGGCTATTTGATGGCACAGACAGCTGGACCATGGACACAGCTCTGTGTGCACCCATGTGCCAGTAACAACTGTGTGCACTTGGGTAAGGCCACGAGCTACAACTTGAACCCTGCACTCAAGTCACACAGTTTATCTTATCTCCAATCAGGGGCATCCCCAACACCAACAAATCCTCCATGAGCCCTGTAATCAGCTGCCACAGAAGGCTCTGCAGGGTCACCCTCTTGCCTCCAGTCTGCAGGCTCCAGCCAGTGCTGAACAGCTCTGAGATACTCTGCCTTCAATAGGAGCTGCTACCTCTGCTGTGTCACATCATCAACACCCCCTGTGTGAGGGGCCAGGGGAACTGCACAGGATGTAGAAACCCAGCACCAAAACCGAAAGGAATAACACAAGACTGAGCTCAAATTCCCCTCTACAGAGCTACAAACCCAAGAAACCCAGGGAAAAATAGAAAAGGCTAGTGAGGAAGAACATGCTTGTCAGGACAGGTAGGCAAGACACGTATCTTTATACACACACCCCGAGGATATGAAACAATACTTAATTACTGTGAAAGTAAATTAAAAAATGGAAGGCAGTTAGAGTTCAAACAAAAACAGAACTAGCTACCATATATTAGTAGAGAAATTACTAGATATTTATCAGCTTTAAAATAGAGAGACTCAGCTAACTTCCAGCAGCATGGCTGTGCACTGCAGCTGGGACAGCAGCACATTAGAGGCCACAGCCTGCCAGTGAGTGATGGACTGTGACAGGAGCTGAGTGGGTATCCTGAAGTGGATTGGTTGCACACATCCTACAGGCAGCCTCATACCTAAATAAGAGGTGGTTTGAGTTGGCCTTCCTTTATCCACCATGGTAGCAGCTTCCACAAGCCACACTTACCAACCCATGGCCAAAGCTAGCTACTGGAAAAAGCATTCCAGGTGTCCACCTCGACCTGCTGAGACGGGTAAAAAACACCTGTTACTTTCATACACACAGGGACTGCATGGTAAGTAGCCTGAGAGTAAACCAGTCCTATTTTACAAAACAAATTAAAGGCCCTGCACAGCCTTTAGGGCAAGTGCCTCTCACTGTCTGTAGTAACAGACAGCTTGGGAAAAGCACCTCCCTTTCATCACCCTAAAACACCCACACTAGGCATGGAAAGAACGGGCATAAGGGCTATATAAGCTACTTGGTCTTCAAAATCTAAAATTTCCTTGAAAATGATACAAAGAAAGAAAGAAACTCCCAATGCACAAGTATTGGAGACTGAAAAGCATTTTCTCAGAGAAATGAGCAAGTTAACAAGGCAGGAACTGAACTTGGTTCTTATGACAGTTGAGTATCACTCAGCAAAACAACCCTGTTGCCTTCCTTAAGCACAGGCCTGAGGCGTGCAGGCTCCCTTCAGGGATTACTGTACATTCAGTTACATTTGCAGTCTGAGAAGTTTGACTGCACAGGCAAGGAAGATCGGATCAGGTGTTTACTGCTTTGTCTTTTGTTGCCTAGAGTCACTCATGATTCACTGAGGGTAAGTCAGATTCACCAGATGAACCCATGGGAAGATCCTCTTCCTAAAGGTTACAGAAAGCTAAACATAACCAAGGCAGAAAAAAAAAAAAAAAGGAACAGATTGCACAAAGAGCTAAAACAACCTTGTACCAGGACTATAGTACTGCCCAAATCTAAGTGTCCTTCACATTCCCACTAGAAACACTCACTGTATTTAAAGTGATTTATATCTAAAAGTCACAGCAAAACACCAAGACAGGCTGAGCACTCATATCAGCTGCCTAGTTAAAGAATGTACTTCTCACCACCCAAAATCCCCTCCTACTTACGTGATTTTCTTCTGAAATTGGAATAAATTAACCCCCCCAGGAAAAAGCAGCAGCTCTGCCTGGCAGGAGCAGTTGAAAGAGCCAGAGAGGCACAAAGCACTTGCTGTAGTATTCAAGGTTTGCAGGAGAGAGACCTTGCAGGGCAGCCGCGTTTTTTAAGATGATATAAACAAGCAAAGCGGACACCGTTAAATTCGGCTAATTTAACTGCATCTATCACCCGTTTATTTTCGCAGTGGAGCACTGAAAACATCTGAGCCTATCTCCACGCACTCTTATCACCTCTGGAGAAGGCAGCTTGTGGGAGCACCGATAAGAGCCGTACCCCGGGCCAGCCCCGCTCCCCGCCGCACCCCGGGCTATCACCAAGCGCCGGGGGGGCGGAGGGAACCCCGGGCTGGCTCTGGGGAACCCCGCGGCCAGGGCATCCCCGGCTGCGCTGCCCCCGCTCGGCACGGCCCGGCCCGGTCCTCGGGCTGACACGGGCGGCAGCGCTGCCCCGGCGCGCCGGGCTCCGCGTCCCGGCCGTGGCAACAGCGGAGCCGCCGCCACCCGGCGCACCCGGGGGGCTCCTCCCCAGGGCGCGGCGCCCCGAGCAGCCCGGCAGGCACCGCCAGCGCCCCCGCCTTTGTCTCCGCCGCAGCGGCGGCAGCGGGGCGGGAGCCGGGCTCCCCGAGCCCCGGAGCGTGGGCACCGCCGCCCCCCGCCCGGCCGTGCCCGCTCACCGTCGGAGCTGACGGTGTCGTAGGAATCGCCGGGGGCGGGCGCCGCGGCCGGCTCCCGGTAGTCCACCCAGCTGAGCCCTTCTACGCTGTCGTACTCGGCGCGGGGCTTGTCCTCCACCGGCACCACGGTGAAGTGCGGCATGGCTGGCGGGGCGGAGAGGGCTCCCCGCGGCACCGCGGCGAGGCAGGCGGGACGCGGCGCGGAGCCGGCGGCGCATTCCTGCCCCGTGCGGTCACTTCCTCTCAGGAAACCGCGCTCCTCAACTCCACCCATTCCAGTGCGAGCGCCGGGGCGGTGCGGATCCCGCCGCCCCCGGGGCCGCCGCGCCAGCACCGGGCGCGGGGGCGGGGGTCGCTCCGCCGGGCGGCCGCGCTCGGCAGCGGGGGCGCGGAGGAGGGGCCGGAGGCGGCGAGGCCGGCGAGGGGAAGGGGAAGCCTTCCTCCTGCATTCATAATGACAGGAGCCGGGCCCGGGGGCGGCGGGAGCAGAGCGGGGCGGGGCGGGCGCCCTCCGCCGCCGCACTCCCTTGCGGGCGCTGCCGGGCCGCCTCGGGGAGGAAATTTCCCCTCCATCGTGGCCCGGGCTCCCTCCCCTGCCACCGCCGCCGCCGCCATTTGCTAGGCGGGAGCGATGCGCGGAGGGCGGCGGCGGGGATGGGTTAGGGTGGTCCAGGAGCGCCTGGAGGGACGGGGTGGTGCGGGCGAGCATCAGCAAGTGAGCCCCGGGCAGGGGACACGAGAGTCCCGCCGGGCCGGGCAGTGAGAGTTCTAGTTAGGGATATCACGGGTAGTTATCCCTAGTTAGGGATATCACGGGTTCCAGCCCGGCGTGGTGCTGGCGGACAGGCAGAAGGCGCAGTGGTACCCGGAGAGCCGGGTGTGTGCAGGGTGCCGGTACCGGGCGGTGTGCAGGGTGCCGGTACCGAGCGATGTGCAGGGTGCCGGTGCCGAGCGATGTGCAGGGTGCCGGTACCGGGTGTGTGCAGGGTGCCGGTACCGGGTGTGTGCAGGGTGCCGGTACCGGGTGTGTGCACGGTGCCGGTACCGGGTGTGTGCAGCGTGCCGGTACCGGGTGTGTGCAGCTGTCCCCGCTTCCTGTGGCTGCCGTGGCAGCGCCGCGCTTCCCTTGTGCTCGCTCCGGCGACACGAAACCCTCGGCGGGGACGTGGCAAGCGGAGCCAGCCCACGGGAACGGGGAAGATGGCAGCGCTGAGGGCGTGCGGGGAGCGCGGGCCCGGCGGATTTGCATGCGGGCCGGGCCCGGGGGTGTCGGGAGCTGGATGCAAAGCAGGCAGTTGCTACGGCAGCAGACGGATGCGGTGTGGCCCTGCCGCTCACACGGGGCTGCGGAGCCGGGGGACACCATTGTTCGGTGCCACTCTGGAGGCAGAGCGGTGACATCCCCTCCGTACAGCTCAGGGCACGAAGCCACCCCACCCCCCGAGTGAGCAAAATTAGATATTGCCTTCACATTTGTAGAAGCTGGCACCAACAGCGGGTATCTTGGCCTTCACGTGGAGTGTAAATGCCATTTATTGTCTGCATTTGAAAGTTGGCCTTGACAGTCGAAGGATCTCTTTTTGATGTGTTGTGTAATCATCAGGAAAAAACTCTGCAAAACAGTTTGTGTGTTTTACTGGGGAGTGTCAGTAATCTACAGTAATCTACAGTAATCTACAGTAACTAATTCTGTAGATTTCTGTAGACTGAAACATTCCCTAATGAAGAAGTGGGTGTACAGTGACACGACATTCCAGCACAGATATAAGATTTGTCTTTGGATCACACAGGAGTCTGCAGGAGGATGCAAAGCTTAGAGCAGAGGAAGGGACTAAGGCTGCACCTTTCCTGTGTTTCCACCTTACCCCCAGCTTTCTGAATATGTCCTGCCTTTCTGAAAAAGCACCTCCCAGGTCACTGACAGGAAGAAAAATTTGTAATGAGCAGGAGAGAGACAAACATGAGGGAGAATGCTTTGTTCACGAGAACTGACTAATAAGTCTGCTTTTAATTAGTTGGGATTTGAAATGAACGTGAAGGATCCATGCTGTGGAGCGACTGCTGCCAAGGGGGTACAGGTCTCTCAGTTCATTTAGCACAAGGTTGCTGGTGCACCACCTCTGGGGCAAGTCAGGGTAATTCTGCCTCTTGGTATTGATCAGACAGGTGGAAAGACTTCTAAGACTCCTGTGCTTTCATATAACCTACATTTTACTTTTGACACTTACCTCTGTTGGGGGAAACAACAAGGATCTTCATGTGGCTGTGTGTATCTCTGTAAACAGCCTTATCAATTTGGGAGGAGATTTAAAAAAAAAAAACAGAATTTCCTCTGTTGAAAACTCCTAGTTTCTTGAAGACTTAGGTTGAGATTTTTTTTCCAGTAACCCTGAAATGAGCATGTTTGCAAATGTGATCCCCTGAGATCTATAAAGTTTTACTTGAAATTTCTCTGAGCAAGCAATAATTTTATCCCCCAGAGGAAAGTAGAACAATGAGCCAAAAAGTAGCAGTTTTTGTTTTACCCTCAATGGTTGAATTACATTTCATTAGCGTTCATGAAACATTTGACCTAACAAGATAAACCCCACCAAGAAAATGGGAAAATTAATTGATAGGGGACAAATAATTTTATATAGAAAAGGGGCAGGATGCTAATTCACCATTAAGCATGTTTGTTCATGTTCAGTTTTCTTTCCTCTTTTCCACTTTATAAAGCTTTTGAGTGAAAGTGTCTGCTCTAAGTAAGCTGGCCTAGAAGAAGGAGGCAGGGACTGCAAGGAATAAGTCTCCAAAGTAATGTCTTTGGAGTCCTGCTTATTCAGGAAGAAACATTAAAGTGGGTGCTTTGGAAAGCAGATGTGACAAGGAGACACTGCTCTTTAGGCACCAAAACTGTGTCTATGCCATCACAGAACATTTTAGTATCATAGAATCAGTGGTACTGAAATTATAACCCATGAGCAGAAAAAGTTAAAAAAATTTAGGCTCATGCACATATACCAGCAACTCCCTTCTCTGGAATGGAAGCTGTATCCAAATGTCAGCAGAGAATTGAGCCCTAGGAAACCATTCAAGTCTATTGAAGCAAAAATATTTCTTTTGTCTAAGGACAAGGCGTCTTTACTGACTTGCAGAAAGATTGTGTTTAGAGCTGAGAAGTTATCTACCCAGATCAACTTTGTTTAGCTTCTGGTTTTTAAGAGAACAGAATTTCAACCCAGATGATTGATTTTTGTTGTTGTTGGTTTTGGTTTTTTTTTTGGTGAGGCTAATAAGTGACTGTTACTCTGAATGGCCACTCTGAGTGGCCATCAAAAGTTGTCTGATATGAATATGATGCTGGAATGAAACTGGATGATCTACAGTACTACAGTATTTACCTGAAAACAGCACTGCTATCGTCTCATTAAATAAAAGGGATGAAAATTACCTGTTTTTCACAAAGCTAAATAGAATTTGGGATTATGGTTTCATATACGTGCAGACTGGTCAGTGAAAACAAAAAGCAGAGACAATAATTTTAATTTCCTCTTTTTTTTTTTAATCTTTCTACACACCCCACTCCAATATCAACAGAGAAAAACTGCACTTCTAAGAAAAAAGCCTGGTGGTTCCACAGCAAGAAAAAGGAGTTCAGCTCTGCAGAATCTTATTAGAAGAGAAAAGGTCTGTATTTTTAGTAGTCTAGTTTACATTTACAGCATCGGTGAAATCAGCAGCCTAAAAATCAGCAAATTCATCATCTCCCCTCTGATACACAACCAGAAACTGCTTTTATATTGGTCCTAACTGCAAATCATGTAATCAAAGGCACAGTTCAGTTCTTCATTAGTAAGCCACTGGATATTTGTGAACCACCTTAAGCAGGTAAAGCTTCCAGCTGAAAGGTCAGTGCCCTTCCACAGTAGAAACTGTGTTGTTCAAAGGCTGTGTGAGAAACTCTGAGTCTTCCAGAAGGGCAGTTTAGTCAACTGCTGTGGAGCCTGATAGAAATCCTCAGGGCAGGCAAGTGAGGTCAAATTTGCCTTGAGCACTTCTGACTGCAGGTGTGTGATGGTGCTCACAGGGGTCTTAGGATGAGGGGGAAGAGATGAGGATCTGACTCCATGTTTCAGGAGGCTTGATTTTATTTTATGATATATATTATATTAAAACTATACTAAAAGAATAGAAGGAAGGATTTCATCAGAAGGCTAGAATAGAAAAAGAATGATAACAAAGGCTTGTGACTGACTGAGACAGTCTGGACAGCTGGACTGTGATTGGCCATTAATTAGAAACAACCACATGAGACCAATCACAGATGCCCCTGTTGCATTCCACAGCAGCAGATAACCATTGGTTACATTTTGCTCCTGAGGCCTCTCAGCTTCTCAGGAGAAAAAATCGTAAGGAAAGGATTTTTCATAAAAGATGTCTGTGACAGCAGTGCCCACCTCTGAAGCACTGAAGAAGGAGCCTGGCTTTCAGAGCCCAGCATGAGCAGGGGCTCACAGATCCCCAGCTGCCAGACA